AAAAACATCATCCTCTAATTTAATCAATCACCTGTCTAATCCCATGCCAGTGGATAGCCACATTTTCTGTCAACAAGCTGTTCTTGAGCTCCACAACAATGGTGTCACCTTGCTGTGCAATAATGCTGGGCCCGGGAGTTTTGCCGTTGATAGTTATAGCCAGCTTTCTGTAACAATCTGGGGATTTAAACTCGTATTTTACCTCCCATTTGTAGACTCGAACTCTGGCCTCGGCCAACCGTACAACGTTAAAGCAACAAGCAAGGGCAAACAGTGTCAACAATTTTATTGCCCAACCACTATTCAAAAACTCAACCATGTCTTGAGCACTAATAAGTTTATCAAGTCTTCTCTGTTTCTCTCTCTCTCTCTCTTTCTCTATAAGAAGATCAAACTTAATTGGTTCTTGTTTAGGTGTGTGGATAAATGTTTTCTTTTATATGCATGAAGTTGAGGGCTTGTCTAGGACTGGGTAAAACTAAAACTAGGAAGTGGTCCTTATTCAAATTTTTTTTTTTCAAGTCCTTATTCAAAATTGAAAAAAAGAAAAAAAATCAGAAGATGGATTCCATAGTCAACTTAGGCAACAGGTTTCTTAAATAGTACCTGTGAAGTTGCTGTTGACTGCTATTAGACAAAACAAATGAAGTTTCTGTGAAGTAACGAGTTTTTTTCAAAAACTCAAGTTGCACAAAAGACGCATGTCGTACTGTCCGCTTCTCGAAATATTTATGCGTGTTAAGCTGCAAATGGTAATGTATACATGAGAGTTTTTTGAAAACCGAAAAAAAAAAGAAAAAAGAAAATGAAGATGCACCAGAATATGCATGTGAATATATATATTCGTGGTAGTGGATATATACGTTAGATCTATTTCAGATATTAAATATTGTAGTTAATAGATTGGATTAATTACAATATACGTTAGATCTCTAGTTCTGTGTACATGCACATAGATATAAATAAAATATTATATAAGCTATTTATATGTGTATAATACTAAAATTATAAGTTAGATCATTGTGATGTAATTGTGCATGAGTTGAATAAGGATGTAATAGAAATTTTTTATAATATGAAGTCTAACTATTTGCATAATTATTTATGTCACATATTTGTTTATGCATATTTATTTTTCTCTCTTTTTTGAGTTATTGTTAAACAGAATTCCACACATTATTCGCGAGAAAAAATCCCTAAATAAAATCAGCTCATGTGTGCTGCTTCACACTTAAATCTTCAAAAGACAAACTCTTTTGAGTCTTCTCTTTAAAGGAGAATCTAAAGTGTTCTCAGTTCTCTTATTCGGTGACTCAAACTTGTGACTTGTCGGTCACAAATGAAGCGTCTTACTACTCAAGCTGCGCTTTGTTTTCAAACTCTCTTGAGTCTTGACAGGCATTATTAAGTGAAGTGTGAGTGTGTTAACAAAAACCCGCCATTGATTGTCTCTACACTATTCCCATTTTTTTCTTCAATATACTAATATAGAAGATACTATATCCTACAAGAAATAGTGATTTATATTTTTCCATTTTAAAAATAATTTATTAGTCCAAACTTGACTAACCAATCAGATGTTCTTGAAAAAGAAATATTAAATTAGTTAATATTAATACACTCATAATTATATATAAAAAAAAAATAAAAAAATGGACACAACGTATCCTATTATCCGATTACACAACTTTTATTTTTACATAGTAAACATAGTCATCACATGGTAGCCAGTTTTGGTCAGAAATTCTTTACTATTTTTTCCGAATAAAATTCCAATTATTTAAAAAGTAAACGCGTTATGAGGCTGAGCTCTCCATTACACGCACAATTAGAAAAAGTTAACAGTTGAATTAAAAACTACACAAAAACGAAAGTTTCCATGAGGAACGCGTTATCAGTTATCACCTACTTGGATCATTAAAAATAAAAAATAAAAAATTCTTGATTTTTTCTTTAGGCCAATGTATAAATAAACAAATATACGTGACTTTAAAGGGAGTATGGGCTCGAAGTTTTTCCAAGTTCACAACTGGGACAGCATTCACAAAGACTTGACCATCTCCACAGGGGCGGATCTAGCCATATAAATGAGTGGATCCTAATCTTTAAAAAAAATTAATATTGTAGATTATAATTATTATATATGACTTTTCATAGCATGAAACCGCATCTTATCGTGAAATAATTAAATTCCTCTTTAACTATTTTCTCACACATTTGAATAAATTTCAAAAATGCAAACCAGAAAAATAAAATTTACAACTATTACATGAATTTTTCTAGCATGAAAAATCATTCTTTTTATAATGAATAATTAAAGCACCTCTTTTACTATATTAACAAAAGTTTCAAAAATTAAAAAAGAAAAAGAAAAATAGGTAAACGTAATTATTTCAAGTTTAACTATAAGGTTGGCTTTTAAACATGATAAGAAAAAAAAAACCATAATCAAATTAATGATTAACGCATACGGACCGAAATAAAATATACACACAAGTCATTACCAAATTTTTTGTATGTCACATTAATAAATTAATTTAAAATATAATTGCTTGTATTTTTACTTTTAACAATACTTTCAACAACTCTTCTTAATAAGAGCATTTTAATTTTAACCAAAAAAATATAAGAAAGTGTACAGACATAAAATCTAAGTTACTAACCATACAGAAATCAATCGCATCTATGGATTATAGGACAATGACTAAATACACACTAACAATTAATCCTCTCTCTCAAATAAAATGCATACTTTATCATTTTTATTTATAATATAATATTTTTTAATGAATATGTATATTCATGAAAAAAGTAAAGTATACCGCTAATACAAAACCTACTGAATTAATTAAAGTTCCCTTCCGATTATTATATATGAATGGAAGAAAAAAAAAAGGACAAAAGTCATTCCTCTCAGGGAACAGTTTTTATTGTACTATTGGATTCCACGTGATGTTGCTGTACATGGTTAGATAGATAATAATGGTGGACCATAATAACCATGGACTATAATTCTGTCCAATAAAAGCTCAATAGGTCTCCGGTTCGTGGAATTATATATGGCCAACACCACTGTTCTTGTTCGAGATCGGAGACGCCGCCGGCCCCGTAACCCCAGCACCAAGGGAAAAGAGGCCTGGGCAGACAATGTAAAATTTATTTATACGGATATATATATCGCTGATATTAGCCATATTGTCTCATATCGGTTTATACACTTGTTACTCGATCCGGAGGACGGTTCGAACCGTCGGCATGACGATTGGGTAACACTATGATTGGTAGGAAGGAATGACATGAGAATGGAATGATCGTTCCCTTACTCATTCCTAATCCCATGATTGATATATTTTTTGGGAAGGAATGGCAAAACTCATCTCCATGGGATTAACCATTCCATAGTAAATGGAAGGTTTTCTCATTCCCATGTGTATAGGAATTAACTTTTCAAAAAATTAACAAATAATAATAAAAAATAAATATATAATATATATTATAAATAATGATTAAAATATATTAAATAAAATTATTTTAAAAAAAATTCAAATAAAAAAATTGAGTCGACCGGGTCCCGGGTCGACCCGTCGGGTCGGTCCGGGTCTCAAAACAGTGTTATTAAACAATATATTATTTTATTTTTGTATATTATTAAAAATATATTATTTTTAATATTATTAAACAATATATTATTCTATTTGTATATATTATTCAAAATATATTATTAAGAATATATTATTTCATTTTTATATATTATTAAAAAAGCATTTATATATAATTTATTAAAAGTATATTATTTTTTAAAAAAAGCTTTCATTTATTTTTATAATAAAAAATGATAATGTCATTCCATTCTAGTCATATTCCTTCTGCATACCAAACGCATCAATGACAAAACATGTTTAATTCAATTCCCATAATCATTCAATTCTTCAATTCATTCCATTCCTACGAAATTTCATTCCATCATACCAATCATGTCATAAAGTCGACATACCTAAGTCGACATCTTGATAAATCGACCTTTGCAGGAATGAACCAAAGGAAGAGCTGATTTTACTAAAGTCGACGACCTCAAAGTCGACTTCAGTAAGTCGACCCGCGAAGTCGACCTCTACCAAGAATAATATACATAGCCTCCGAATGCTCGTACAATCCTAAGTCGACCTCATAGTGCTCGAGGTCGACTTCTTGCGCCTCGAGGCCCAAAGCACAACAACGACTCAATATACTTGCAGGTACTCGTTGAAATCTCTTATTCTCTAATGGATAAGAAGGAATCTTGTGATGACTCAGCAGTGACGGAAGGCGAATCGACTAGGGTAATTCAGACCTTTTAGGTAAACCGACCGGGGAATTTTGGGTACTTCAAGTAAGTGTTTCCTCCTATATAAAGGAGGTGAGGTAACCCTAAACCCTAACTTCCATTCATTCACACTCTCCTCTATAGTTGCTGTTGCTCTCTCAGAGCAGCTTCTCTTCACCTCTTTCACATACTGACTTGAGCGTCGGACGCTCTATGCCGGAAACACTTCCGGCGTTGTTGCGGTCTAGCAACGGTTCGAAGGCGATTTAAGCAGATCTAAGCTCATTACTGCCGGTTCACTCTAGATCTGAGAGTAGACCCATCAATCGTTGTTTTGAATTTTATATATGTAATATGGATATCAAATCGAAGATCGTTAAAAGATAATTAGTTTGATATATCATATATAAAAAACAAAATATACAAATAAAAAAGTTAAAAAATTTTAAAAATAAGAAGAAGATAAATTTATAATAATTTGTGTATGGATCAAATAAGAAAAAGAGATGTAATGTATGGTAATGTAGGAAAAGGGAACGTAAATTAGTGCATGGAAACGTATTGTATAAGAAAAGAATGAAGAGATCAATCACAAATTTAATGTGAATAATATAGATATTTAATGCAATTCAAGTCTAATTATTATTTTATAAAAAATACTAATTTATATCCAAGTATAGTTACGAAGCATGATATTTTTCCGAATAGGATTTCGAAGTGTGCGAGTTTGTCACTTAGGCTCAACGTATTCGACAATTATATATAGAGGAGATGTGATGTGTGAGGATAATTGTTAGTATTATTTAATTATATTGATAATATTGATGAGCGTTAGATTAAATTAAATTCGAGTGTGATTTGTTTGAGAAGATCTTATATTGAAGCATCCACTTAGCAACGTGGTTCCCTGTCCAAAGATTTTGTTAGAAATATCAGGCCCATCCCGAAAAAGTTTCAGGGCTCATGGAAAACTTGGTGTAGGCCCATTAGCTCCGATTCTATTCCTACAACCAGATGGCCTAAACCCTTATCTAACCTAAAAGTTGAAATCCAATATTGGTGAAATTTTTGGGTCATTTACACATATACTACACGATACAACAAAAATTGCAACTCTACCATCCCATTAAAATTAATTGCGTACTTACTTAACACATTAGATTTAATTAAATTAATTTCTACTGTCAGTTACCATAATATCCAACGTTCCCCCTTAATTTGCGCTTGATTAATATTCCAACGTCCCCTTAATTTGCGCTTGATTACTGTTTCACCTTATTAAAAAAAAACTCAAAATTAACGTCCAAAAACCTGAAAAATATATACTCAGAAAGTTTATTGTTAATTTGAATACAAAAACAGGTTGATCGAAAATCAGAAAAAATGTATATGTTTAGTTTATATAACGTATATATTACACATATGAACTGTATATGTTTAGTTTATTTAACGTATATATTATTATACATAATGTTTACACATACGAAACTGTATATGTTTAGTTTATAATTTATATAACGTATATATTATCATTCACTGAAATTAGTTGCGTGCTTTTAAGGATGAGGACGGAGAAATCTTCAAAGAAATCTGCGGAGGAGGATAAGGATGAGGTGGAGCTTCTAAAGAGGCTAAAAGAAAGAAGAGAGAGAAGGAGAAGGAGAGAGAAGCGAAGAGAGAGAAGAAGGAGAAGAGAAGAAGGAGAGAGAAAAGGGAGAAGTCGTGGTGCGACCGATCAAGAAAAAAAAATACAGGCAGATGAAGAGAGAGGAAGGAAAAAAAGAGAGGGGAAGAGAGAGAAAGATTGTGATAAAGACAATCGTTATTTGACTTCTGATAAAGATTAAATCCCAAAACATCGGTCCACTATCCATAAAAAATCAACTTACCTGTATTAAAATTTAATCAATTTTTGTAAGTTTGCAATTAAAAATTTTGTCTCGTAACTATACAATTAAAAGAAGATTATATCGTGCAAGAAGATTATGTAGTGTCTTAGGTAATTATCTTGAAATTTTTCTAGACTTTTACTAACTCCGTTTGTTGCACCATGTGAAAGATTCTTAGAGGATGATTGGATATAAAAAATTTTGGTTTTGTTTGGATTTTTTTGTTTGGTTTGGTTAATTTTGAAAAAGTTGGTATGGTTAGTTGTTAGTGGGTATATTAAATAATATTTAAAATAAAATGATTAAAGTTGATTTGATGTAAAGTAGGTGAGAGAAAATTTGAAGTGATGGTTAGTTAAAATTATGTGAGTGGATGAATAGTGAATTAAGGTAAAGTGGTGTGTAAGAATGATTGATTGATATTATTTAATTATATTGATAATATTAATGATAGTGGGGTTGAGTTAAAGTTGAGTTACAAAAAGTGGTTGAGTTAAAAATGTTTGGATTTTTTTGAAAAATTTTGTATCCAAACATGCTCTTACCGCTCTCTACCCACAGCCACCATCCTTTTGCAGTCTCAACTCTCAACTACCCCAAAAATTCCGTCTTCTACCAACCAATCTCCGTTAATGTCATTATCTGTCTGTCGCTCTCAACTCTCACCAACCATTTCCCCACTGTGTGTATATATACATATATATATATATATTCAGAGGAAACATTAAACAATGGCCAGTCTTGTTTTATATAATTCTGAATAAGTCAAAAGCTCACCAAACTTTTTTACTCAGGCGTAGATGGCCGCTGCCACCTCTTCCACTCTGCTGGCCAGAATTTCATCCGCACAGGCGCAGCTCAAATCTCATCAAGACTCAACAAGGGCTTCGAAATTGATCTCTTTCTCTTCCCAATTGCAGTCTTTCTCGTTCAAGTAAGTTTTTTTTTTTTTTTTTTTTTGGGTAAATATCCTTAATTGTTTGTTTATTGTTCTTGTCTGTGTAGTTTTAGTCATTTTTGCACGTTTAGGAAATGAAATTGCTTTGGGGGTGGTTTGCTAAGCTAGATTAGTGTGTGATTGCGTTGTGCTGTGTGGTTTTGCAGTTTGATGGTAGATTAATAGGTTATCATAGAAATGTGAAACATTTATCCGGTTAATTATTGCTTCACATTTTAACCGGCCTGCGCTGGCTTTTTCGGTTATGTTGGTCGCAAGTTCTTGAAATAAAACCTTCAGGAAGGTTACATTATTGAAATATGTGTGCCAAGTTCTCTAAGGAGTGTTTGAATTTCTAAATATTCAATTCTTGGAATTAGTTGGAAATATATCATGCTTTAGTCTTGCAAATGTAAAGCACTTTCGCAACTTTTGATTCTCACTTGGGTTAACTAGAAGTTAGTGATTCTGTTGCATACTGAATAGTTCAAGCTTTATGAACTTGTCTGTGCTCGTCCCACGTGATCCTAGTCAATCACTTTGCTGCTAGTAACTATCTGTGTGAATCTAACTTTAACACTAATTTCCAAATAGATCGTTTCATAAAAGAGAGAGGCATTTGCAGAGAGTTTGTGCTGTCCTGAAAACCGAGACCGAAACAGACAAAATGGAGATTGATATAAGTTTGAGCCCTAGAGTAAATTCAGTTAAGCCTTCAAAGACAGTGGCTATTACAGACCAGGCAACTGCACTCGCACAAGCTGGTGTGCCCATTATTCGTTTAGCCGCTGGCGAGCCTGATTTCGATACCCCAGTTGTAATTGCTGAGGTAATTGTGTTTAGATTTTGCATTTACGTTTCATATTTAAAAATGATGTAAGAAAAAGCTTAGCTTGCATTGAGAAATATGGTGACTGGCCTTGAGGTTGTATTCTTCTTACATTTTACATTTTTCACCTGTTATTTGGTGGGAGCTAACTTTGATGTCTTTCAAATATTTTTTTAGCTACATCCATGAACTTTTCGAATTATTATATATTACATCATTTTTTTACCCTTCCATCTTTCAGCATTTATGACTATTACAGATAATAACAACCATACTGTATGAGCTTATTTGTAATATTTTCGAATATTGAGGGGTGTAAGTGTAAGATACTTGATGCTACTAATATATTCGGTCAAGTTAACTTGGCAAAATGCAAGATAGTATCAGACCTCAAAGACGATTTTTGCAAATTTGTTTACCTGTGTTTTCTGAACAATATCTTAAAGGATAAAGCCTGCCTGTTCTGATAAAGGATGTCCATGTTGCTTATGAGGGCCCTTGTTTTATTTTACTTTTTTCTCCACTAAAATTTGGCTGGAGTTAGAGCAATTCGTGAGGGATACACTAGGTATACTCCTAATGCTGGTACATTGGAACTCCGGAGTGCTATTTGTCACAAGCTAAAAGGTATTGATTGTTCTGGAATTCGTTGAGTTTTTCTAATATTTTCATTTACAAAATCTTATATTTGTTTCCATTTGAAAGAGGAGAATGGGATATCATAACGCCGGATCAGGTTTTAGTAAGTAATGGTGCTAAACAAAGTATTCTTCAGGCAGTTCTTGCGGTTTGCTCCCCTGGAGACGAGGTATATCATTTATGATTCCATTTTAATTTAGAAGTTTTAATGGACAAAGTAATTATTGCATGTGTATGTCAAGATTTTTTTTTTTCTTTTTAAACGAAAAGGCGTTTTTTGGCTCATTTTCTGGATATGATTGAAAAAGACACTGGAGTTGAGTTTTTGGTACTTCAGTTTTATATTTAACTGTTCATTGCTTTGCATGATGGCCTCAGTATAGCTCTCTTTCATCTGAGAAAAAGGTGGAGTTGGTTTAAGCAAAAAAGTTCATGCTTTCCTCATATATGAATTACAAACCCAGCTTAGCTTAATATAATGCACAAAGCAATGTTCTAAAATAGTTTTGGGATTAATTGCAAAGTTCACCCCAGATGCTAGATACAGTCATCTTTGATTTCATTTCTTTTGAATTGTTTGTTTTCTGCTGCTTTTTCTCTTCAAGAAATTGATTGAATTTGGGAAATAATTCTCACTGATTTCTTTTCCTTTCTATATAATAATTAATCTCGGGCAATGGGGGCTTTAGGTGAACACCATCTTATTTTCGGTTTCATTATTTACATAAAAAGAAAATCTTTTAATGAAGAAATAACTCACTAAAATGGCCTTGTTCTTCATTATATCAGTTTAAGCGAGATGTAAATTTTGTATTGAAAAAAAAAAAAAGAAAAACTTCTGTGACTACTTTAAAAATCTGAGTTGCTGATTTCGCCAGCTCACTAGTGAAAATAATTTGTTTGTAGGTTCTAATTCCAGCTCCATTTTGGGTGAGCTACCCAGTATTAAGGCCAATAAATCAGCCTGTGATGAGACCTCTGTTACTTAAAATAAAGTTCTGGAGGAATTGAAAATTCAACATAAAAGGCAACAAGTAGATCCTACCCTTGATTATATCATTTCCTTTCTAAAATGATTTTATTCCTTCTTTGTAATCTTTTTACCGTTGGACAAATCTCTATAAGAGACATTGTATAGTTAGAAATAATATAGCTTGTGTTCATCGTTCCTTAAGCTTCTTTAATAAAATCCTTTTTTCTCCAGACACTCTCTTCCTTTTATCTTGGTATCAGAGACAGTGAACACAAGCAGAATACAAAACCAACCAGTCATGAATTCTTTATCTCTAAACGTCGGCAACTTCATTACACTCAAACTCACTCCAACAAACTACCCTCTATGGCGAGAACAAGCTTTAGCCCTTGCTGAAAGCCAAGAGCTGGTTGAACATCTGACAGATGAAAGCTCAGCACCACCAAAATTTACCACTCCAAATAACCCTTTAGATGCCGAACAATTCACACCACAGTTAACAAAAGAGTTCGCCGCATGGAAAAAAGCCGACCGCCTTTTGCGGGGTTGGGTAATTGGTACATTATCTGAAGAAGCACTCGGCTTGGTCATTGGAGTAGATACAGCGTTCGGCGTCTGGGAAGCCCTCAAAGATGCCTACGCACAAGACTCTCAAGAGAGAGAATTCACACTGAGGCAACAACTCACATATCTCCGTAAGAATGATGACAAATCCATTGCAGACCATATTCGTACTTTCAAAGGTCTGTGTGACAATTTAGCGGCCATTGGAAAACCCGTCCTTGACAAAGAAAAGGTATTTTACTTGCTCACTAGCCTTGGCCCGCAATATGAAACTTTCACTACCACTATGTTGAAACCTCCCCGACCCACTTACACTGAACTAGTGGCACAACTTCAAAATTTTGACCAAAGACGTAGTTGGATGAACAACACCGACATCGGTACCAATTCGTTTAATACCCCAATGGCTTTCTTCGGACAACACCAAAAACTTCAAGGAGGACCCTCCAAGTTCACATCATCAGGACGAGGTTTCATAGCACAACAACCGAAAAATCTCTCTCATTCTGAAAAATTCAGCCCTCAGCCAAAAAAACCACCACCTCCTGGACAACGACGTATGTCGCAAGCTGAAAGAGATCTTTATCGAGATGAGACGTGCCAATATTGTGGTGTAACAGGACATATTGCAAAAATTTGTTGGTGGATTCCAAAACCATCAAAGGGGACAGATGACTTACCACAAGCATTAGCCGCCCTCACATTGGATACCACTGTTGCTGATAATGAATGGACCTCTGATACTGGTGCCTCCAACCATATGACAGGTAAGTCAGGTATTCTATCTAACCTCCAAAATAATTGTGGATCAGACTCTATTTTACTTGGTGATGGTTCATGCTTACCTGTTGACGGAATTGGATATTCTGAAATTCGTCAAGATAACTTCAGTTTACCATTAAATAATATTTTATATGTTCCAAGTTTAAAGAAAAATTTGTTATCGGTTAGTCAACTCACTTCTGAATATCCTGTCAATTGTGAATTTACTGATAAAGATTTTTGTGTTAAGGACAGGAAAACAGGCCAACCGTTGATAAAAGGAAGGCGTAAGGGAAATCTTTATGTCCTTTCCAATCAACCTGAGTTAAATTTCTCTCACCGTTTCAAGTCTGGCTCATCTAATATTTGGCATCAGCGTTTAGGACATCCACAACACTCTACTTTACTACATCTCAAGAATAATAACCTTATTCATGTCACAGGCCCAACAAAAAATGAGCACGTTTGTGATAGTTGTCAACTAGGAAAACTTAGTAAATTCCCCTTTAGCAGTTCTGAGCATTCAAGTACTGATATTTTTGACAAAATTCATTGCGACTTATGGGGTCCGGCTCCAGTTTTATCACTTGGTTCTTTTCGTTATTATGCATGTTTTGTTGATGATTTCTCCAAATACATATGGATTGTTCCTTTACGATTGAAATCGGATTTATTTGATGCCTTTATCAATTTTGAACGGTATGTTGATCGACAATTTAACAAGAAAATCAAAATACTTCATTCTGATGGGGGAGGTGAGTTTGTTAATAAACGATTGTCTACGCATTTTTTGTCTTCTGGTATTATTCATCATAAATCGTGCCCATATACACCTGAGCAAACAGGTATGGTTGAACGGAGGCATCGCATGATTCGGGAATTAGGTATGACCATGTTATTTCATAGTGGTGCTCCTCTATCTCTATGGGTAGAAGCATTCTCAACGGCTGTGTACCTCATTAATAGGTTACCCTCTTCCGCGCTTAATTTTAATTCTCCTTACCTCATATTACACGGCACTCACCCCACATATAGCTCTTTACGTGTTTTTGGATCAAAATGCTTTCCGTATACTTGGGATACTCGAAAAAATAAGTTTCATCCTAAAAGCATACCTTGTGTTTTTATAGGTTATAGTGATCAATTTAAAGGCTATAAATGTTTTCATCCACCAAGTAAAAAAATATATATTTCACGGCATGTGGTCTTTGACGAATTATGTTTTCCTTATAAAGACCGTATTTCTTTCAAAATTAACACTGATCGTGTGAATAGTATTTTTGATTCTTGGTTGCCTACAACTAACAATTTTCTTTTGTCAGACTCACCCTCCGGTAGTGTCACGAATGACTCTAACTTTATTGACATACCTCTTTCGCTACCTCCAAATCCTATTCCAGATGTAGATCACCCCAACCATGATACCTCATCCACGCCTACAAACACTGCACAACCTGACACTACGCTCGCTTTGCCTACAACTTCCAGCCGAAATGATAATCCTACCCTGCATACTTCTTTGCCTAATGAGCCACAAATTCGAGTTTACCACCGCCGACCACGAGCTACAAATTCAGGTTTACCATCAAACGCCCCGCTGCCATCTTCCGACGAACGTCCTCCAGTTCTTTCCTCGTCAATTGAAACTGCCACTCAACCTCGTCACACTGAACATTCTATGCTCACCCGGTCCAAAGCAGGTACCCTGAAGGCTAACCCAAAGTATGCACTAACCATGACTCTCTCAAGTACTGTCCCTCGAGAACCGACCAATATACGTGCTGCTCTTAAACATCCTGGATGGTATGATGCTATGAAAGAGGAACTTAATGCACTTAATCAAAATTCCACATGGTCTTTAGTTCCACCATCCCCCCATATGAATATTATTGGATCAAAATGGGTATTTAAAACAAAATTAAAACCGGATGGCTCTTTAGATCGGCTTAAAGCTCGTCTAGTAGCTAAAGGTTATCATCAACAAGATGGAATTGATTATAATGAAACTTACTCGCCTGTTATCAAACCTGGTACAATTCGTTTGGTGATAACTGTTGCACTCTCTAAGCAATGGCAAATCCGCCAACTGGATGTCAAAAACGCGTTTCTCCATGGACATATCTCTGAAGCTATTTATATGCAGCAACCTCCAGGTATGAAAGACTCTAAATATCCACATTATGTTTGTAAACTTCACAAAGCACTATATGGCCTCAAACAAGCACCTCGTGCTTGGTTTGATCGTTTCAGCATTTTTTTAATAAGGTATGGTTTTTATTGCAGCAAAGCTGATCCTTCTCTTTTTATTTTACATTCTTATCATGGCACACTTGTGTTATTATTATATGTGGATGACATTCTTCTTACTGGATCTAATACCTCCTTAGTTAATTCTTTTATTAAATTACTTAGTCATGAATTTGCTATGAAAGACCTTGGTGAACTACATCATTTCCTAGGAATTGAAGTTTCAAAAACTACTCAAGGTTTGCATCTTTCTCAATCACACTATGCACTCTCCATTTTAGAACGAGCCAGCATGACAGATTGCAAACCAATGTCCACTCCTTTAGAAATAAAAAATAAACTTCATGAGACTAGTTCCCCTCTTGATGATCCGAGCATGTATAGAGGTCTTGTTGGAGCTCTTCAATATTTAACACTTACACGACCTGACCTTACATATAGTGTTAACTATGCATCTCAATTTATGCATCAACCTTGCACATCTCATCTAAAAATTGTTCGTCGTATCCTGCGTTATGTGAAAGGTACCATTCATCTTGGCCTACATCTTATTTCCCACACAACACTTGATCTTAGTGCTTATGCAGATGCAGATTGGGCTGGTTGTCAGGTTACTCGACGCTCTACTACAGGCTTTTGCACGTTCCTTGGTAGCAATCCTATTTCCTGGTGTGCAAAAAAACAGCATACAGTCTCCCGTTCAAGTACAGAAGCTGAATATCGTGCCATGGCTCATACTGCCGCTGAACTTACTTGGATGACATTTGTCTTACAAGATCTACACGTCCCATTAACTTCGACACCAGTCCTCCATTGTGACAACATTAGCGCACTCCATATGACAATTAATCCAGTGTTTCATGCTCGTAGCAAGCATATTGAACTTGACTATCATTTTGTTCGTGAAAAAGTTGCAGCCGGACAGCTCATCACCAAACATATTCCGACGCAACTCCAAGTCGCTGATATTTTTACGAAGTCATTGCCCAAAAGCGTGCTTGGTTTCTTTCAGACCAAACTATGTCTACGTCTACGACCCCAACATAGTTTGAGGGAGGATATTAAGGCCAATAAATCAGCCTGTGATGAGACCTCTGTTACTTAAAATAAAGTTCTGGAGGAATTGAAAATTCAACATAAAAGGCAACAAGTAGATCCTACCCTTGATTATATCATTTCCTTTCTAAAATGATTTTATTCCTTCTTTGTAATCTTTTTACCGTTGGACAAATCTCTATAAGAGACATTGTATAGTTAGAAATAATATAGCTTGTGTTCATCGTTCCTTAAGCTTCTTTAATAAAATCCTTTTTTCTCCAGACACTCTCTTCCTTTTATCTCCCAGAAATGGCAAGATTAGCCGATGCAAACCCTGTGATTATTCCTACACACATATCAGAAAATTTCCTCTTAGACCATAAGCTTCTACAGTCTAAACTGACCGATAAATCAAGATTGTTGATTCTTTGTTCTCCATCCAACCCCACAGGCTCAGTTTACCCGCGTAAATTGCTTGAACAGATTTCCAAAATTGTGGCGAAGCATCCCAGGCTTTTAGTACGTTTTACATTATTAATCAGCCAATGAATACAAATGTTTTGACTTGCATTTTCTAACTTTTGACTTCATTTTTCAACTACTTTTTTCGGCCCAGGTTTTTTCTGATGAGATTTATGAACATATCATTTATGCCCCGGCAACCCACACGAGCTTTGCATCTTTGCCTGGCATGTGGAACAGGACTTTGACCGTCAATGGCTTTTCAAAGGTTAAAATGCTGTGTTATCTCTTCTGTTTGGCAACCACTTTTGGGATAATTGGAAAAACAACCATTGAGATTTAGCTTGTAAAGTTTATCTTTTAAATTTAGAAATGGCAAATTGATAATTCTGAAAGAGTATTGGTTTTCTGGTAATTAGGCCTAGCATCTGAGTAGTGTTTGTTCTTCATGTTTTTACCAAAGGTCTTATCTTAAAAATGTATTATGTGTCGTGCACAGGCTTTTGCCATGACTGGTTGGAGGCTTGGGTATATTGCAGGTCCAAAACACTTTGTTGCTGCCTGTGGGAAGATCCAAAGTCAGGTATATAATACTAAAGATAAACTATCACTACCTCTTTCTCTTTCTTCCTTCTCAAAAATTCAAGTTTTTTTAATCCTATCGTGCACTAAGGTTGATTTTTTTGTTCATCATATTCTCATATTTTCTCTTAAGAAAATAAAGCTGAAAATAAAATTCACAACTTATGTGGCTACTACAGTCCACTTCCGGTGCAAGCAGTATATCACAGAAAGCGGCTCTTGCCGCTTTAGGATTGGGCTATGCAGGTGGAGATGAAGTCTCGACTATGGTCAAAGAATTTCGTGAGAGGAGAGATTTTCTGGTCAACAGCTTCCGAGAATTAGAGGGTGTGAAAATTTCAGAGCCTCGGGTTAAGTCTTTGAGGTTTTAGAATGTTCAGAAGAGCTTATGCTTTTACAAGAAATGATTTCTTATGATAAATTTATTTATTATTTTTGTCGAAAGAAGCTAAAAGTTTGAGTGAGTGTAAATTAGTTGTTAAAGGATTTAATTTAGAGAAGAATTAATCAAGGGGAACATAAACTTGGAAAATTATATATAAACACACAAACACACACATCGTTTAATTGTTCAAAGCACTCTTGTAAAGAATAGATACACGATCAAAGACAAATTTATAATGAACTGTTTTTGACTTTTTGGCAGGGAGCTTTCTATCTATTTCTTGATTTTAGCTCTTACTATGGCTTAACAGTTGATGGCTTTGGAGTGATCAGTGGCTCCGAGTCCTTGTGCCGATTTTTGCTCGACAAAGGCCTAGTAAGCAATAAATATGATTTGGAGACAATTTATTTTACCACCCCTGAGTTTTAACCTTACTAGTAATCATCATGTGCACATGCACAAATGTACATAAAGTATTATATGTAATATGTGCAAATTTAATATTAAAATTCTACTTAATGAATATATCACGTTTTCAAGATTTGATCATTAATAAAAATAAAATAATATAAATATAAATTATTTAAATATATATGAATCATTATATTGATTGAAAATAGTTCGTGGGTAATGTTTATAATTTGGATGGATAATCATTTTATAGTGGATCGAGGTGTCTGCTAGGTACCAACTTTTGAATCCTCTTAAGGTTAATGTGTCCAAGTCTAAGGTGTCAATATGCTTGATTCATCTGCGAAGACTCCTTCCTATTATTAGATATAGTCAAGACATTATTCATTTTCGATTGTTGCACTGTGGGATAGTTTGGTTTAAGAACATGCAAATTGCCAACTAATGAACCAGAACAAATCAAACGATTTCCATAACGAATAATAACCGAGTCATCAAACGTAAATGAAAAACCATCCAAAACAAGCTTAGAAAATGAAACAAGGTTCTCATTTCCTTAAGTCGCCTGGTTTCCTGGAACATATGCAAAGAATTGCAGACATGATCAGTGGCTCTAGTATCTACACATCAAGTTCTGGTAGATACAATCGCTAAACATGTTTCTACAACATTAATAAGAGAGTTACCTTTCTTGATGAGAGGGCAGTCGACCTTCTGTCCTGATCTCCTTTCGTAAGGCCTCGACTTTCGACACAACAATTCTGTCTCTGAACTCCAAGGCTCCATCTGTGCCTCGATAAAATCCCTCTACTCTTCCGGCGTGAACTTTTTCCTCGATAGCTCGGAACTGATCGAAAGACTGTTCTTGCCTGATTCTATCTCTCAACATGGGCTGAACTCTCATCGAGCTAACACTCCCTGAAATCTCCTTAGGAAGTGACCCGACAACCTCAATCTGCATCTGAGCGAACTCTCTAATAAGCTGGTTCTGCTGTGTGATACAACAGACCAACTCACCCTTCACCTTCCGGCTTAGGGCATCTTTTACAACGTTCGTTTTCCCCGGATGATACTGAATAGTGCAGTCATAATCCTTCACAAGCTCCAACCATCTTCTTTAACGCATGTTGAGCTCTTTCTGTGTGAAGATATACTGCAAACTCTTGTGATCAGTAAAGATTTCACACCGACCACCATAGAAAGTAATTTGATTGTCCTCCGGAAGATGAAGAATTATCTCCCGATCATGGCAATGAATATCCGCACGGTAACGCTTTAACCAATCCATACCGAGTATGAGTTTAAAGTCCCTCATGTTTCACAATCTCGGCGGGAGATGACTCAGGCAATCGCTCAGTTGATGAGTATGAGCGAGAGTTTACTCGTCTCGGATCCTTCTACCTACTTAGTGGATACGGAGGCGAAGAGAGCAAGACGTTTTCGTGATGGTATACGACCAGCGGTTCGTTACCATGTAGCTGGACATGACATCCAGACTTACGCTGATACTGTTGCCAAGGCCCAAGAAATAAATGCCAGTTTCAGGAGGGGTGATGATCAGGTCCAGGTGCAGCCATTAGCTCAGTTTCCAGCATTGCCACCAGCACAGCCAACGCCTGTTCAGTCCACAGAATTACCGAAGAATAAACAGAGACAACCAGGTGCAGCTAACCAGCCACAGATTCCAGCTTGTGGCACCTGTGGACGCCATCATCGAGGAGAGTGTTTAGCTGGTCAAAATATATGCTATCACTGTCGGAGTCCTGGACATGGCATCAAGAACTGCCCAAATAGGGTATAGCAGTAGAGGCGAGCAGGACAACAGGCTCAGTTTTACGCTGTGGAGCAGGCAGAGCAGAACCCAGGTACTATGTCTGGGATGATTATTTTGAATGATATGCCTATTTTTGCACTGTTCGACACCGGAGCGACGCACTCGTTTGTGTCAAACCGATGTATAGAAGCCATTGGAGTTCGACCCATCAGCACTGTTGACCCTCTTGAGGTAAGTCTAGCCTCAGGAAGGAAGATAGTGACGAGCTCTAAGGCAGAGCACCTTAGTCTTAATATAGGCGGCCAAATCTTAAAAGCTGAGACATATGTTATCGTGATCAGGGACTTTGATCTCTTACTCAGTATGGATTGGTTGACGCGTTACCGTGCGGATATTCATTGCCATGATCGGGAGATAATTCTTCATCTTTCAGAGGACAATCAAATTACTTTCTATGGTGGTCAATGTGAAATCTTTACTGATCACAAGAGTTTGCAGTATATCTTCACACAGAAAGAGCTCAACATGCGCCAAAGAAGATGGTTGGAGCTTGTGAAGGATTATAACTGCACTATCCAATATAATCCGAGAAAACCGAACATTGTAGCAGATACCCTAAGTCGGAAGGTGAAGGGTGAGTTGGTCTGTTGTATCACACGGCAGAACCAACTTATTAGAGAGTTCGCTCGGATGCAGATTGAGGTTGTCGAGTCACTTCCTAAGGAGATTTTGGGGAGTGTTAGCTTGATGAGAGTTCAGCCCATGTTGAGAGATAGAATCAGGCAAGAACAGTCTTTCAATCAGTTCATTCGAGGTATCGAGGAAAAAGTTCACGCTGGAGGAGTAGAGGGCTTTTATCGAGGCACAGACGGAGGAGACGTTACTTTATATTTTGATAGTAGTAGTTTGGTTTTGAGACATTGCCTTTATGTTTCAAGTTTTAGAAAGAACCTTGTTTCAGTTTCTAAGCTTGTTTTGGATGGTTTTTCATTTACATTTGTTGACTCGGTTATTATTCGTTATGGAAATCCTTTGATTTGCTCTGGTTCATTAGTTGGCAATTTGTATGTTCTTAAACCAAACTATCCCACAAGGCAACAATCTAAATTGAATAATGTATTGACTAAGTCTAATAAAAGGAAGGAGTCTTCGCAGATGAATCAAACATATCTTTGGCACCTTAGACTTGGACACATCAACCTTAGGAGGATTCAAAAATTGGTATCTGGCGGACACCTCGGTCCACTCGAAGATGATGATCCAACTTGTGGATCGTGCCTAGAAGGTAAGATGGCCAACAGGCCGTTTTCAGCAAAGGGGTATAGGAGCCAAGAAGTGCTAGGATTGATTCATTCTGATTTGTGTGGTCCTATGTCGATCCAGGCTAGAGGTGGTTACGAGTATTTTGTCACATTCATTTATGATTACTCGAGATTTGGGTACATTTACCTGTTGCACCGCAAGTTCGAATGCTTCAAGAAATTCAAGGAGTATCGGGCAGTTGTGGAGAGAAGTTCATGGTAAGAGTATCAAGTCACCTCGATTTGATCGAGGTGGCTAGTACCTCTTTGGAGAGTTCTGACATACTTATCAGAAGTTGGGATTGAATCTCAATTGACTGCACCCTGCACACCCCAGCAGAACGGAGTTGCAGAGTGAAGAAATAAGAATTTTATGGAGATGGTTAGGTCAATGATGAGTTATTTAAGGTTACCAAATTCGTTCTGGGGTATGGCGTTAGAAAAGACGTCGTATATTCTGAACATATTTCCATTGAAATCAGTTGAAACTACTCCTTATGAGATGTGGAAAGAGCGCAAGCCCGGTTTCTCACAATTTCGAGTTTGAGGTAGCTCTGCACATGTGTTAGTGCAGGAACCTGGCAAATTGGAGAAACGTTCGGAAGCACGAGTGTTCGTTGGCTATCCCAAGGGAGCGAAAGGTAGATTATTTTATAGCCCTGAGGATCAGAAGGTGATAGTTAGTACAGACGTTAGATTTTTAGAAGAAGACTATATTATGAATCACAATCCCGCAAATAGACTTGTCTTAAAGGAGATGAGGAGTGAAGTCGATAGTTCCCCACCGAGTGCGCAAGTAGATACATCACATAATACTGCAACACGACACACTGAAAGTGTACCATTGCAGATAGTACCTCGTCGTAGTGGGAGGGTTTCTACGCAACCCGATCGATGGATAGGTCTTGGAGACCATCGGACATAGTTCCAGGAGACTAGAATCGGTCCCAAGGACCTACAACGAGGCACTCCAAGATAAAGATGCAGATTCATGGAATGTTGCAATGAAAACTGAAATGAGGTCAATGGACTCCAATCAGGTCTGAGATTTTATAGAACCACCCGATGGGGTACGACCCATTGGATGTAAGTGGGTCTATAAGAGAAAGAGAAGATTTGATGATAAGGTGGAAATCTTTAAAGCTAGGCTTGTTGCGAAAAGTTATACCCAGAAAGAAGGTATTGATTATGATGAGACCTTTTCGCCAGTAGATATGCTTAAATCTATCGGATTCTCTTGGCTATAGCCGCTCATATGGATTATGAGGTATGACAGATGGATGTCAAGACAGCTTTCAGAAACCTTAGGAGGACATCTATATGCAACAACTAGAGGGATTCATTGCTAAGGGACATGAGTATCTAGTGTGTAAGGTTAATCGGTCTGTTTATGGACTGAAGGAAGCTTCAAGATCTTGGAATATACGGTTCTATGAGGTGATCTAGTTGTACGGGTTCACTCAAAGTCCGGATGAGCATTGTGTGTACAAGAAAATCAGTGGGAGCGTGGTGGTGTTTCTTGTGCTTTACGTATATGACATACTTCTTATTGAAAACAGTAAGGAGTTATCAGAAGTAAATGTGTGATTGTCTAAGCAGTTTGATATGAAAAACTTAGATGAAGCAGGACACATTATTGGTATTAGGGTCATTCGAGACCGTAAGAAGATCACATTCAAGTGTAAGCGAGAGGAAAATTACAGAGGCAAAATAGTAGATTTAGATTAGGCTGCTTCCAAACATACAAAAACTAAAGCGAGCAAATGCCTTTTTGAGATAGCAGTCAAATAGGTGGCAAGATCTACATATTGAAGGATCCGTGTAAGTGATGATGTTAAGAAGGGAATGGATAAATATGCATTGGCTGTGTATTATGAGGGTCATCGACAGATGAACGGACTTAGCGCTTCATGTAAAGAGATTGTCTGTGATATGACTGCTGCTCAGGCAAAACTGACAGCAATTTTGACAGCAATCCAAGAGAAAAATCCAGCAGACAGCACTACTCGGCGACATGGGTATAACTGTAGAGATAAATTGCAGAAAGATAGTTTCAAGGGTAGCGACGTGACTGCTCAAATTCTGCATTTGGCTTTGAGTAGCAATTATATAGTTTATACAGATGTTGATCAGGACACACAGGCTTTGACACGTCTGTTCATGTCGCATCCTCAAGCAATTAGTCTATTTTGAACATATTACGGGTACGTCGGTATAGATTCGATGTACAAAACTAACATGTATGTTACTTTATATGTCTGAGTTTTTTTTTTTTATTCTATGTTTCCTTTTGTTGCTCTCAGTTGCATAGGTATCCGTCGTTGGTAGAAATTATTGGGATGACACCGTGCGACAAGAACTTCTTAGTTGCATATGCAATTATCAAGGGCGTGAGCGAGTAAATCTATGATTGAGTTCTACAGAGGTTGAGACTTCTGATAGGTCTGAGGTACATCCTAATGCCATTGTCACAGGGAGTTGGGTTTGATTTACTCCTATTCAAAGGAATTTTCCACAATTTTTCCAATTAGTTTGCACGTGGCACATCAACAAAGATGTGGAAGACAGAGTTTATCGGCTCTTTAGAAAAAATAAGGATTTCGCTCAGAAGTTCACGCATCATTATTTTCTTCCACCTGCTGTGCGTGAATTTCTGAGCGAAATCCTTATTATTTCCAAAGAGTCGATAGACTCTGTCTTCCACATCCTTGTTGATGTGCCACGTGCAAAGTAAGTGGGCAGATTGTGGAAAATTACTCTAAATAGAAGTAATCAAGCCCAACTCTCTGTTAGTGACAATGGCATTAGGATGTATCTCAGACTCTATCAGAAGTCTCAACCTCTATAGAACTCAATCATAGTTGTACTCGCTCTCTTCCTTGATAATTGCATATACAATTAAGAAGTTCCTGTGGCACGGCATCATCCCAATAATTTCTACTAACAACATCTGGTATCTGTGCAAATGGGAGCAACAAGAGGAAACATGGAATCAAAAAAATTACTTAAACATGTTAATTAAGTTTCATACTAATTTGTTATTTATATAGTAACATAACTAGTTGTTTGTACGTCGAATCTATACTAACGTACCAGTAATATGTTTGGAATAGACAGACTGCTTGAGGATGCGACATGAACAGAAGTGTCAACGCCTGTGTCCTGATCAATATTTGTATAAACCACATCATTGCTACTCAAAGTCAAATGCAGAATCTAGGCAGTCACATCTCTACCCTCGAAACTATCTCTCCGCAATTTATCTCTATAGGTATACACATGTCGCCGAGTAGCGTTGTCAGTCGGGTTTTTCTCCTAGTTCGCAGCCAAAATTTGTTGCCGCTTTTGCCTGAGCAGTAGTCATATCACGGACAATCTCTTTAGATGAAGCGCCTAAGTCCGTTCATCTGTCGATGACTCTGGGGATACACAGCCTATGCATTCCCCTTCTTAACAACATCACTTACACGGATTCTCCAATATGTAGATCCTGCCACTTGTTTGTCTGCTATCTCAAAAGTGCATTTGCTCACTTTAGTTTTTGTACGTCTAGAAGTAGCCTGATCTAAATCTCATATTTTGCCTCTGTAACGTTCTCCTCGCTTACACTTCAAAATCTTCAGTTTTTCTTCTTTCTTTCTGTTTCGAAATAACCAATTCGAGACCACAAAAAATTGTTATTCCTTTTGCCCACTCAATAGCGTCGTCATCATTAACAAATAACTCATATGTAATAAAAGCAGTAATCATCAACGTATCTTCCAAAATCTTTGAGTAACACCTGCAATATATTACGATGTATGTTAATAATTTTACAAGATAATCAATTATAACTTATAACATAATAATTTATGAATTTTAACATAATAATAATAAATTCTAATTTATAAATAATCAATTCTAATCTATATCATAATATTTTCTAACTTCTAATCTATAGCATAGTAATTTCTAACTTCTAATTTTTTTCATAAATACAATCAATTAATTCAAAGAAATAAAAAACTGCTGGCCGCGTGGCCGGTCAGACCGGTGGGACAGCCGCCGACCGACCGACCGACGATTGCGGCTGCATCTGGCCGACAAGTTCAAACGGGCATGAGCACGTCCGGCCGCAGATCGCGACCGCCTATAGCCACGTCCGAACAAGCCGGCCGACCTCGACCGAGTTTAGCCTAACTCGTCGGTCGGCCGACGCCTCTCCGGCCGGTTTGGCAGGCCGGCTGGCACAAAAAGGCACCTCGTTGGGAAACATTTTTTCTCGCCGGAAATCGCCTGGTACAGAAGATTTTACACTTTTATGAGGTTTTTGAAAAAATGACGGGGGCAAAATTGTTCAGTGGCTGGTTTCGTAGTAATAAGGGTGGCCGGTTTCGTAGTAATAAGGGGACAGTGAATAGTAACCCTTTTCTGTTTTTACAAATACAGCCCGAGAGGATAATTTGCAGACTGAAACAAGCCTGAGGGTGCTACTTTTTTTAAAAATATATATATATATCTTTTTACTTTTTATCTATCTGATTTTAGCCTTCTATTAGGTTATTTTCTAACTAATATGTTGTCGGATTTATAGGTTGCTCTCGTCCCGGGTGATGCCTTTGGAGATGATAGCTGCATTCGAATATCCTATGCAGAGTCCCTCGACACTCTGCGGGCAGCATTCGAGAGAATTAAGGGTGCACTTCTTTCCCTTAAACCTACCATTAATTAGTGTTTAACCTGGTTGCAAAAATCTTTCAGAAAAATAGCATGTCTTTTGTTGTAATTTAATTGTCATCATAAAACATGCAATTTGTTGTTTGTTTGTTTCGTTTTGATTGTATGGAGAAGAAATGGGGTTTGGTGTTAATTCGTCTGAATTATAACACTATGTCTTGCAAATTGCAATTATATGTACTGAAGACTATAAAATGATAAAGGTGGCTAAATTTATTTAACAAGTTATATAACGAGTTAACGTGACCTGTAATCTCATGTTTGCATGTTTTCTCAACTTCTGTACGTGCAAGTAATAATGTTATTCCTGTTCATGCACAAAACCAATCTAAGAGAGAATTAGATTGACTTTTCTTGTAAACTTCCCTTTCTCAAGAATCTACCACCCAAACACAACATCCAAACCTTTACCCCGGAAAATGACCAACACAATTTAGAAATAAATTGTTTACATATTAAATGGTTCAATATTGAATCACAATTTTGAAATAAATTGTTTACATATTAATTGCCCCCTGCAGTTTAGTTTATTTAATCTATAGGGTTGCCTTTGCTGTAGGACCAACCTTAGCAAATCCTTCGTAGTTGTCCCAAACAAAAAACTTGAATTACAAGACAATCAATCTCCCATGAATGTCAAAAGAATATTCTTATGCCTCATCTCAAATCTTTCTTCCATTCTAACCAGATTTATAAACCCCAACAAAATCATCATAAGTATCTACAACAACCAAAAAGAGAAAAATTACACCACAATAAATCCACCANAATCCACCAAAAAAAAAAAAAGAAAAAAATATGGCTTTTCCAGACACAACCGGTACAAATATAACCCCTCAAATCGTGTTTTTCGATTTAGAAACTAACGTTCCCGCCAAAACCGGACAACAATTTTGTGTCCTTGAATTCGGAGCCATAATTGTTTGTCCTAAAAAGCTAGTCGAGCTCGAGAGCTACTGCACCTTAATTAGGCCACACGACTTATCCATCGTGCCCGTGAAATCTGGGCGTACTGAAGGCATAACGCGTGAGGCCATTGCCCGTTCGCCTTCGTTTGCTGAGGTGGCAGATAAGATTTTCGACATGCTGGATGGGAGAATATGGGCCGGCCACAACATTCAACGATTTGATTGTGTCCGGATTAAGGAAGCCTTTGATCGGGCTAACAGGCCCAGCCCGAGGCCCGCTGGGATCATTGACTCATTGAGGGTGTTGACCCAGAAATTTGGGAGGAGGGCTGGGAATATGAAGGTTTGTGAATTTTTTGTGATAATTATACTAACAATTAAAACTATATAGTGCTACATTTTCAAATTACTTGTTTATTTATATGTTTCACCATTTATTTATTTATTTTTTTGGGCAATTTTTAGATGGCAACATTGGCGGATTATTTTGGTCTTGGCCAGCAGAAGCATAGGTAAAACAATTAAATTACTATGTGCATGTAGTTAAATAAATTTATAAGATATTATCTTTATATTATAAGATATTATCTTTTATGTTCCATGTCTATTAAATTTCATCATATATTAAGTACCTCTACATATTAAATAAATTTTTGTCATGGTCCCTTATTTAACAAACTAAATTCATGTTATCAAAAAAATGCAAGGAAAGTTTTATTGATTTTATGTATGTTTGCTTATGATGTTTAGGAGTTTGGAGGATGTAAGAATGAATTTGGAAGTCTTAAAGTATTGTGCAACTGTTCTTCTGCTGGTATTGATTTTCATCTTCTAAATTTAACTCAATCCATTTTTTTTTTTTTTTGAATTTGAGCGACATATATTAATTTGTGTTTTTAATAATTCGTTAGGAATCAAGCCTACCCGCAAATGTATTAAACGGGCAATGGCACAACAATTCAACTGTAACTACAAGAAGCAGAAGCAGCCTAATGGTATGTTTTTCCATTTACAGAAAGTTATCTATAAATAGATGCACAAATTTATCCTTCAATTTTTAGTTACTAAATGAGGTAATGTTGGAAGTATGTTAATTTAAAAATATTTCGTACTTTCAATCTGATGTATGCAGTCTATTTGCTCAATTAGATTTTTTTTAATATCAGGTTGTATAAAATTGTATTATGAATTATATTTATATTTATATATTATATTTTTGAACTTATACATTTCAATTTTCTTGATACTGTTTTATGTAATTCACATAATTGTTAAATTTATTAAGAAAAACAATAATGCATGCATTATATTATATAATAGTGACTATTGGAATGTTGATAATTTATATAATAAATAACCTATATGTATGTGTGTGCTCAACTTATAATATTTTCATAGAGTTTACATTGTTAGTTTAGCCTTATAAAAAAAATTATACAACGCCCTGAACATTTACAAATTAATGGAAATTGCAAATGTTTACAGCAATCAAGTCCAGATAGATTGAGCAACAAGGGTTTAGCATTTACAGGAAAATCAAATAATGGAAGAGAAGAAAGAAGCCGAAAATCACCTCCTTCGTCGTTGAGTACTTCTCAACAAAGGGCTGTCCCTTATGCAAGACAAAGACTCGGAAAGGTTTCCTCATTTTTCTCTAATTTTTACAAGTTTTACATTGAATCCACTCAAAATAGTGGGATATTCTTATTTATGAAAACCCTTATCAAATTTTGGGTCTTAAAATTTATAATAGAATAAAATTCAAGATTAAAATTTATAGGACAATTTCTTTTTTCTTTTTTTTGACAAAAAAGAAACCATAAATTAAATTAGTAGACCAATTTGACAATATTGCCTTTAGTGAGAGTGTTTTGTGTAGGTAATTACATGAAAAAAATATAAAATGTTGTTCTGATTAAAGAATAGTTAGTATTTACCGTTCTGAATGTTTGTAAACAGATGACAGCTGATAGTGTGAAGAAAATATTTGACTATGCCAAAAGTCAAACTCTCAACAACTTTTTGAAGCATTCCAAGTCATTGATTAGATGAGAGTTTCAAGGCTAATTAATTAACCACATTGTTTCATGAGAAAGAAATTTGAAGTGAAGAAAAAGTGTTGCCAAGCAAGAAACGTTATGAAAGTTTGATTTGTGACCTTAATGGAGGCGTCTTTATTTTTAAGAATTCAGAAAAGTTCAAGTGGGCAGCTCAATTATGGTCTTCTGCTGGATGGAGAAAGGAAAAAGAAAAGGCAAAGACATAGGAAAATAATATATTCGAATTCAATTTTTTTTAACCCTTTGTGCTTAATTAATGTAGATACAATCTTGTGCAACTTAAAAAGTTGTATATTAGCATGCATGTTATGAAAATAAGAGATCGAATGCATCTTTCAAAATAACATGTTTGAGCAGGAAAAAAGATATTTAATCATTGGGAATATAGCTGTAAAATAGCCACATTTTAAGCATAATTTTAAGTTTGGCTGCGATACCATTTTAATCATTAACATTGATCTACCTTTGATTTTGCCTCCAACAGACTCCAAACCTTTTTGTACCCAAA